GTTTGACTTACCTGATTGCCTGGTTTGCCTGGCGGGGAGGCAGCTGAGCGGATGTGGGGGGTGGCCCTAGGCTCTCAGGAATGCAGCCCTACCCCTCTCCTGCTGCCAGTAGCCTCTGGCCCAGAGACACGGCACCCCACCCTGGCTGGCTACCCTTGCTGAGCCTCTATTGGAGCTGGTCTTAGCCAGGGGCTTTTGCCTGTTTCACGGCCCCCCACTACTTAGTCAGCCCCACCCTGTCCTGTCAGTGTGGGGATGCAAAGCAGGAGTATTGGACTGAGCCCTGGCCAGACCCTGCCCCAGAGGTAGAGGTGGAGAGGTGGGCTGGCCGCCCAGTTATAGCCAGAGCAGGGAGGGGCCTGAGTAGGGCCTGCTGCCCTATGCCCTGGGAGCCTGCCCAGACTGACTGAGCCACCCCACGAGTCCCATCTCTGGAAAGCCCCTTGGGTCTCTGTTAATTAAATACATTTGTTTGGTAAAAGCAACTAAAAATACTTATATCATTGCAAGCTGCGGAGAAGAGCTGGCTAATTAACGCTCAGTTTGTTTGGTATCTGGAATATATTTCCATGCTGATGAGATGCCTGCCCTTCTCTAGGGGTGTGCCCCAACTCCAGCGTGCCCTGGGGCTTGGACCCTCACACTCACGCTGCATCCCTACCCAGGAGGCTCCTGGCATGTCACTTCTCAGTCTTCTCAGCAGCATTGGACCTCTCAAGCTACCTATAAGACCCCTGCTGCCTCTTCTCTTCCTCCCACAAATATTCCCTCCATTAGGAGGACCAGCCTGGCCCAGGGAAGGTGGTATGCTTGCAGGGGTACCTGCTGCCTTTGAATCGGGTATGGCTGTGCAGCTCGGTGGTGGGTGAGGGGTGTGGGGTAGTGGTTGTCTCCAGCCTCCAGAAACCCCCAGCCCTGGGCTGTGACCTGTTGACTAATGAAGGGGCTAGGCCAGGACCAGCCTACTGGTATGCAATTTGTCCTGTGCAGGCTGGTTGGAATGGAGTAATGGCCTCAGCCTTGTTCTTATAGTACTTTGGGGGTGGCTGGGGAGAGGCTCCAGACCCCCATCTTAAGGGGCTGTAGGGCTGGGGCACAAAAGCATCAGCACACCTTTACTCAAGCCCTCACTGCCACAGATCCTGGTGGACCTGGCCAACCCCGGTGGCCGGCCAGCTCTGGCCTACGAGAGTGTGGTGGCCCAAGAGGGTAGCCCCATCCTGCGTGACCTTGTCCTCAGCCCCGACCACCAGTACCTCTACGCCATGACAGAGAAACAGGTGGGTACTGCACTGCCAGATGTGTGTGGGTAGGCCTTCCCTGGGGAGCTAGGTGTGGCTGCTATGTCTCACAATGTCTTGCTGCCTCTAGGTTCTCCTGGGCCAGTTTTAGAATTCCCTCCCTTTTGTGAATGACTTCGTGTCCATAGGAGCAAATATTTAATGAGAACATTATCAAGGTATTGGTGTCATTGCAGGGTTTGGGGCGTGCATCTGGGGCCCCAAGTTCTCAGACAGTGACCTGGTCAAGCACTGGCCTCATCTACATGGTGGGGACTCTGGGCAGCAGCCTCAGTGGAGCCTTTGGCTGGACTCTCCCAGCTCTTCAAGGCCATGTGCTTGTGTTCCTGGCCTGGGCTGCAGCTAGCCTTTGCCCTTCTGCTTGACCTGATTGCCCCATGGCACTTGGAAGTGGGGCAGTTGGGAAAGACCTTCTTTCCCTCTTGGCCAGCTCTCCTCTGCCCCTCTCCTAGCCATCCGGTTCTTCCACCCTTCTGGGGACCTCAGGGTGGAGCAGACGAGGTCGGGGTGAGCAGGGCCCAGCTTGCCTCTGTGCTTAGGAATAGGGTCGATGAGCCACAGCTTTCCCAGGAAGCTTGGAGTCCAGACCAGATAGGAGAGTAACTCTGGCCAGAATGGTCAGTTCTTCTCTAGGTGGTTCTTGTGCACAAGCTTTCTGGTTCCTTGGCCACTGCCACCCTGGGCTCCTGGGGAGAGGCCTGACTTGGCTGAGGCAGTGTCACCAGGACTGGCTTTTGAAAAAAATAGGAGGAAGTCCCAAGAGAGGGGTGTCCCTGGTATTTGGGGGTCAGGGAGCACACAATAGTGTGAGGAGGTAAGACTAGAAGGGGTCCTTGGGATATGCCTGGTGAGATCTTGAGGCCGAGTCCCCTTCCTGCCAGGTGACGCGAGTGCCCGTGGAAAGCTGTGTGCAGTACACGTCATGCGAGCTGTGCCTGGGCTCTCGGGACCCCCACTGCGGCTGGTGTGTCCTGCATAGCATGTGAGTCTGGATGGGGGTGGCAGTGGGCAGGAGGGCTCTGACACCCTGGCCTGGAGCTCTCTGTCCCCGGAGGGCCCCAAACAGCCTTGCTGTGTGCCTCAGGTTGTCGCAGCTTCCCTCCAAGCTCCTCTGGGCCTCCTCGGGCAAGGCACCCTCAGGCTGATGGTTTTCTGCGACTGAGTGACAGCCCAGTCTCACTCACAGTAAAGAAAAGATACAGTGAAGCTGGTGGGCTTCCCCAAGTGCAGGGGTTGGCCCTGCTGAGCAGGGGCTAGGGGCTGGGTTGCTCAGACCTCCCTGCCTGCGCCCAGCCTAGTCCCCTCTGCCCACAGCTGTTCCCGTCAAGATACCTGTGAGCGGGCGGAAGAGCCTCAGCGCTTTGCCTCGGATCTGCTGCAGTGTGTGCAGCTGACTGTGCAACCTCGAAATGTGTCTGTCACCATGTCCCAGGTCCCGGTAAGTGCGGCTTCCCAGCATGGGCAGAGGGATGGGTGGGGCAGTGGGACCCTGCTTGCCCACACCTCCTTGCTGTGGGTGCCCCAGCTTGTGCTGCAGGCTTGGAATGTGCCTGACCTCTCAGCCGGTGTCAACTGCTCCTTTGAGGACTTCACTGAGTCTGAGAGTGTCCTGGAGGACGGCCGCATCCACTGCCACTCACCCTCTGCTGGGGAGGTGGCGCCCATCACGCGGGGCCAGGGTGAGTGCACTATAATTGGGCCTGGGCAGCACCTGCAAGGGCCTCCTGTTGTGCAGCTCGACTGTTGATGGGGACAGAGAATGAGTATTGCATGGTGACCAAGGAGGATGGCAGGATAAGGAACAGATGCCTACATGGGAATGGTGTGGAGTGGAGGCAGGGACCATAAGTACAAAGATGCAAGGGGCCTACCTGGTGTTCTTAGATGTTCGCAAGCCAGAGGGACTAGGGTGTGGCCAGGGGCTACACACTTGGTGGTTGGGAGTGTCCTTGGCAAGGTCTTTCCCTGTTTGGGGATTGCTCTATGTGGGGGGTCCTATATTTGGCTGCATTTGGTGGCCCTGGTGACTTGGGCCTGCCCTGCCCTACAGGAGACCAGCGGGTGGTGAAGCTCTACCTAAAGTCCAAAGAGACGGGCAAGAAGTTTGCGTTTGTGGACTTTGTCTTCTACAACTGCAGCGTCCATGAGTCGTGAGTGTCCCCAGCTTTCTGCATCGATGTCCCGCAGGGCAGGGCACAGTGCAATGTGATCTGGTGGTCAGGGCAGAAGACGAGGCCTGCCATGAGAACATCTGGCCTGGGCAGAGGGTCCAGATGAGCCTGAGGCTGGGGCAACAGTCGGAGCGGGTGGGTGTGTGGGGAGTGACATGCACCGAGTCATAACGTGGAGAGTCTCACTGTTTACCTTGGTGTGAGGAATGGCCTGTGGGCACCAGAGTGAGTCAGGGAGCTTGGGGTGGGGTGTAGTGGGGCAGTTGCATCATCTAAATGGGAGATGGTATGCCATGGGATGGGCACTTGGTACTTGCTGCTCTGAGACAGGTAGTGGTCTGGGTCTTCTCTGGTTTATGCCACCCGGGTGGGGGTTGGGAGGGTAGGGGTGGCATCTGGGGCACAGAGATCCAGGGTGGGAGGTCTCCCTGGTGCTGGCCGGGTGCTCATCTCTGTCTTTCTTGGTTGTGAGCAGTAGGAAGAACGGGAGAGGCCGAGGACCTACTGTGCATCCTGCCATGGGCCAGGCACCTGGGTGGGCCCAGGGGGGCCTCAGGCTCAGAGGGGTACCTTGGCCCTTTCCCTAGCATAGGGCATGGTGGGTGGTGGGGGTCCAGCCTCAGTCATGCCTGCCTTTGTTGATGTGGCCTGGGTACTGTTATTACCAGGGTACAGCTTCTCATTCCTGGGTGGGCTGGGTTCTTTGGGGCAAGGAGATGCATTCCAGAGCTGGAGGGGGTTGAGGGTCTCTGGAGAAGCTGAGTAGCCAGAAGGTTGGGAGGTTCTCAAAGGTAGCCAGTGGCATTTACCTGGAGAATGAGGATGCCATGGAAGCTGTAGAGATGAGGTGCCAGCCAGCTGTATGAGGCTACTGCGGCCAGAGCACCACAAGGACCCTAACCAAGCCTTGGGGACGTGTCGGAATAAATGGGGCACCCTTCTCCTAAGCAGAGCCTGCATTTTGTTTGTGGTGGTTGATGTCTCCCACGGCTCTGTCCACCTCTGCAGGAGCTACTAGCCACTGAAACTTAAATCTAAGTTAAGACAAGATAAAATTTAAAGTGTAGTTCCTTAGTTGTACTAACGCATTTCCAGTGCTAATTGTCAATGTGTGTCCTGGTGTGGCCAGCGGTCACCATAGTGAACGGCGTAGGCTCTTGATGTGTCCGTCATCAGGAAGGTTCTGTCTGTGGACTGTCAGATATCAGGGGTCTAGGGGAAGAGCAATGAAGAGGGAGGGGAGTGGGGCAGTTCAGTGGCTGAGACCAGCTGACATGGAAGGCCTCTCTGAGCAGGTGGAGGTTTAGCCAGTGCAAAGGCCATGGGGTGGCCCTGTGAATGACTGGTGGAGGAGCAGCAGGGAGGCAGTATGGTACGGCCCTATGTGGCAGACGGGGAGGCACAGGATGCCTGGCGTCACTGACCCACTCTT